AAAGCCACAACACTGGTCTCGTAAATTCAGCAGACGGTAGCGATTATATCATCAGTGATCTGCGGCACAACTACAGCGATAGCAAGCGCTGCAGATCAACTATATACGAACTTTCAATAAGGCATGGTACTTGGCAAACAAAACAAAACGTTCAGGACACTGACGTCAGTATACTTCTAATTTAATTCAAACATGCTGCTTTGATAAATGTGATTCGTAAACCTGTCTTCCTGGTATAGTTGCAAATAATGCAGGTCAGGGTGCAGGACCTCTGTGAAAGAATACGAATCACAGCCGATATGCTCTGTATATCTTGCTTCTCTACGCGTTGAGTGTTAATGTGGTGAAGACAGCTTCTTAAAAGAATCAGACAGCTTGAGATAGAAAACTTTCTGAAGACAGTGGGGAGTTTCAGTTTGGCGTTTTTCACGCTACGATCAGCAGCTAAGCGAAGCGGGAACGCAAATGCACCCTCCACTACGGTCGTAAGCGGGTTAGCGGAGCGAGGCGTACGCTCCGCTTACTCGCTGGCTAAGGGCCGTTCCATGCGCTTCCCGCACAGCCGCAACGCACGTGCCGGAAACCCTACCGCACGCAAGCGGGGGACAAATATGCCAATTGGCGACGCTGCGGAAGGTGAAAGAGAGTCGCCGATTGGTTTATTTGTCCCCCGCTTGCTTGCAGTAGGGGTCCCGGCACATGCGTTGCGGCAGTGCGGGAAGTGCGTGGAACCGCCCCACACATCTGTTAGACACATTCTCGGGCAATGCGAGGTTATATGCAAAAAAAAAAAAAACTCCCAAGCATTTCCCCGAGGGTGAACATGGTCAAGTGCGAATACACGGGATGATGCTATGTGGGGTATTTATTAATTCGCACTATTATATTTATTAATCACACTATGGTGCCTTTATGGTGTAATGGTTCCTGGGAATCGCAATTTGATCACACGGGGGAGTTTACGTTAACTCACTGGCGAATGCCAACGGATTTTAACTTTACTCCCCCTCATGACCCGCTCTCGACGGGAAACTGAGAGAGAAGGCAGGCGCGCGAGAGAGAGGGGTGCGCGCGCAGCTGCAGCGAGCGAGGAGAGCGGAGGAGCGAGTGAAGGGGGAGGGGGTATAAGGCGCGTTAATGACACCGATATCAGCGTCGCGTCCGTGGCTTATTCGGTAGAGCGTCGCGCTGCGGCCCGCCAAGTCCTCTTTCTTTTAAAGTTAGAGAGAAGACTGCGGACGCCGCCGACGGCGGTGGATGGTTTGGGGTCGCTTATAAAGTGTATTCACACTTAAAAAAATGCAGCCTTCCAGATAAAACTGCGGCGAGGTGAATTGTTTTGCTACTCAGGTCAAGCCTCCAAGATCAACTGTGGGTCATTCAGCACGCGTTTCAGGCAGTGACAAGACAGGCTCTCCGGGCCTCCCCGGGGATGGGTGGACCAGGCTCAGGGCACCAATTTTCCGGGGTTACCATCAAAGTTGTTGCCACTACTACACTAGCTACTGCATGTATGAGCACGCTATCGATGATTACTATCAAACGGTCATGATCTTATGACATTGGAGGCCCATTGATCGCTGCTCAAGAAAACGAGGAATCGCCATTAGTCCCAAAGCGACTCCGTCTTTCATAGCCCGAGTTGCTTTGGGACGTTAAACCCTGACGAAAAAATTACAGGTGAACACTTAACCATTTGGATTCCCTCAACGTGCAGCAGCCATGACCAGAATCAAACTGGTAATAATATGAAACTCGATAACGGTATGAAACCAAAGGAGCTAACTTGAAATATTATGCAGTAATGAAATGAGCGGTACGCCGTTACAAAGGGATGATCCAGAGGTCGGTTACGCTTCTTAGAGGAGGTAGGTGGGACGTGGATTGGTTCCTTTTGTACAGAAAAAGTTTTTGATCATCATCATCATCATCATCATTAGCATCATCATCATTATCATCATCATAATCATCATCCTGAGAATGATATTCGTACTACGAGCGCACTTTTTGCGGGTACTATATCTTCAAAACGCATGCGAACACAGTTTCAATCAAACGCGTATACAGAATACGCAAGGGCGTGCATTACTGGACACACATCGGCTCAAGGCATCTTAGAAGTGAGCGCCTGGGCTTGCCTAGGAGAATATCTCTATAACAGTATGCACCACAAATATGCAAAAAATTTTGAACCTGGAGTTTTGCTGGAGTCAACGCTCATTGTCTTAAGTGGTCTTGTGCTCAAAAAGACAAGTTGCTCCTGGAAATGTTGGCTGTAGTGAAGCGACCATGTCGTCAATGACTTTTTAACTCGTCATGCTTGCGTACTTCCTCCAACCTGGCATGCACAGTAACTTACGGTGCATTGTAACGTGAGTTAAGTGGACTAAATTGGTCACGCTTGATAAAGGCCATCAGGGAATTGCGGCCTAGTGGTTCAGGTATCTCAACAGGTTTAACCCACCCCTGTCAAACGTCGGGTCAAACTCTTCACTGCGCTCTACATTCGTGACCGGGAACTGACAACCTTACCTCTTTTCCCCACTCCCCCTAAAAAAAGGCTAGGCACAAAACAACAGATTAGAGAGAAAGAGGGAGAGAGCTGCTCATTAAGTAGCAGTCCCGCCATAGTCCCGCCATAGGGAATGGAAGATTATGCCGCGACAATGTGCGGCAGTCACGGAAGCCTAATAAGGCAAAAGAACCGAGGGAGGCTTGCATGTAAGTAGGGCGGCCACGAGATGTCGAGGGCTGAGAAAAGAGAGAAAAGCAAGCAGAGGAGAGGCAGATAAACGCGAAAAAAATTGCGGGGGTTAAAAGGGCGGTGGCGTTGGTCGTTGTGACTCCACCTCTTTTTGCGACCGGACCGGCGAGCCGAGGTCAGTGTGTTGCCACCGCGCCTCGGTTGTTCTCTTTCTCTCAAACAGCGGTTGAACGCTCATTACATCAGTCGACGGGAGCTCGACGTTTTTTTCCCTTTTGTTTCAGCGTCCGATCAGCGACAAGCGTACTTCCCTTGCTGCGGCCCTTGGCCGCTGCAGTCTACGGTAGTACGCGGCTGCGTGGAGTTGACGTACTCCTCAAAAAGGTGTATAGGGCGCTGTCTCACTTTCAGGCAATAGGACTACAACAGAATGCTGAAGGTGGTTCATATTTTTTTTCTCGTTTTAAAGTTCGTGCAGCATTTTATTATCAACACCACAGAAGCTACTTTTCTTGGAAAGGAGTATGTAATGAACTAAATCAATGTCTGTTGTGCGATTTCTGCTTGTGTTCTTTATTGCAGAGAAGTGTTATTCGAACGTCTCCAGAATATCTTTTATTACACCCTGCTGCACGCGCGGACAGGACACACACACACACACACACACACACACACACACACACACACACACACACACACACACACACACACACACACACACACACACACACACACACAAACACACACACACACAAACACACACACACACACACAAACACACACACACACACACACACACAAACACACACACACACACGCACACACACACACACACACACACACACACACACACACACACACACACCCACACACACACACACACACACACAAACGTACGCCCATTCACACACAACTCCCTCACTCACTGCAGCCAAAGTTTTACAATTAACCGTCGAGATATCTTTATGCCGACCTGCTGCAGCCAGAGTATTTTTTAGGTCACCAAGACAGCGGTTACCTAGTGCTTCTTACTCGACTGCCACTGTTCATTTTTCATCAGCACTGCGCAATCAATGCAGGCGGCATCGTTAAGAAAACCGTTTAACTCGAAGAAACTAGGCCAACTCCAGCACGTAGTGCCGCTTCAACAGCTGCTGCAATACTTATTTGCAGCAGCAGCGTTACGGACGGGCCATGTCCACCCCTTGTCACGTTCATGCCCCAGAGTAAGATATGCACTGACCCATTTGACTGCAAATGCACAAACGCTGCAAGACTCACGCTTGAGTTTTAGGCTAAAATGCCAGAGAGCTGTAAAGCAAAGAATAAGCGCCTGACTGGGACACACGTGTAGTACCACTAGATCTGCGGTCGTTAATAAGCCATCGTCATCGTGTAACATGGTACTTTACATTTTCTTCTCTGTATATGCAAATAAGTAAACCACAGTAACGTTGTTCTGTTGACTGAAGACTTGGGTACACTGTGGTACAGATGGTATTCGAACCAACTACTCAGAAAAATGGGTGGCTGCATCAACAACAAGGAACGGACTTGTTATTTGTTTTTCACGTTACAACCTTTACGCACAATGAAATACAGAGGAACCCAAAGTACTATAAAGAAGCCTGCTCGGAAAAAGGAAGTGGTCCACTGAGCGTGAATTTCGGAATGCACAAAGGCTCTTACTTCGAAATGAACTGTCACGCAGTTGTAACAAGACTGATTGTTGACCTAGTTGGTACTTGCCTAACGAAATACTTTGGCCACAAATATTACAAATTCAGAGCAAAGGAACACACAATGGCAAGCACGCCGTTGCTTCTGGAATACCCCACACGCAAATTCCAGGGAGCAGGTGCAAACTGCGAGAACCCCGGTTCTGACGCAAGAGCTTAAGTACCGCATCGTTCTTCAAACGGGGCCCCGCGTGCGTGCTTGAGTGTGTGCGTTCGGAGTCACGTACTCTGTCTCCTGGACAACGGCCCATTTTCAAGCAGCAGCAGCCGCATCGACCGAAAGGGTGAGAAAGAAAGAGAGAGAGAGAGAGAGAAAAAAAAAACGAGGGCGAACTGGAAGGTGGGGGACATCGTCGGATTCGTATCTCGCGCAAAACTCGAAACTCCCACTTCGCTCGCTCCCCCCATCGATATCGCTGCGAGGACCCCCTTCTTTAAACGCAACTTGCCCGTGCAGGGCAAAGTAAGCAACTTTGGCCCCGCTTCTTCCGTCTTTCTTTTGTCGTCTGCTACGGGTCGTCTGCTCGGTGCTCTTGTTGTTATACTTGTACCTCTGTTTGCGATCGTCCAGTCGGCGTGGCATGGCTTGGCTTGGCTTGGCCGACGGCGCGTGACGACGTCGAAGGAAGAAGACACGCGCGGCCGCCACGCCACCCGGTGAAGAAGAGAGAGATGTTTTTCCGGAGCAAACGTCTGAGCGAGCCCGTCCGAGAGGCACGCGCTCGCGTCATGATTACCTTACGACGGTGTCCAGCGTATTCTGACTGGCGAGGCCGCGACACGCCCGCCGTGCTGTGCTGGTGCCCGCGTGCGGCCGCGAGTTGTTGACGCGGGCACCGTGTCAACAGGCCATGGATCAATCGGCGGACCGAGAGAGTCGCCGAAGTCGACCACCCTCGGAGCAGGTAAAGGCGATACTTCTTCTAGCGTGTCGCCCTTCTTGATTCTATTTCGCCACCTGTTTGCGGCGTCCGGGAAGCGAGGCTTAACCGATTCTCGCACACGTTCGCGTGCGTGCGTGCGTGTTGTTGCTGTTTGCGTTCGGCGCTCCGCCGAAGAGGCAGCTTTTAAGCTGGTTAACACGCGACAATTGTGTTCGCAGTTGCAATTACTTAAAGAACCTACTTATTCGCTCGCTTTCACAGAGAGTGTGTTGGTTCATTATGTACGAATAATTCTTTCTTAGTCAGGTGATAACCACATTAGATTGTCAAGCAACGTTGTGTAACTAGTATGTTCACTGATGTACAACTGTTATAGACGTTCTGGCTAACACACATACAAAGAGGGCTACGCGTCAGCGTCCCCCAAAATATACTCAAAATTTCTTTTAAGGGAGAGCCAACAAGTGTCAGTCAGTTCTGATTTTTTTGTTTTATTGTCAACAATCCCGGCGTTGTTAACAAAAAGAGTGCTAACTTCACACAAGTTAACATCACAACATAAAAATAATAATATTGAAAAAAACAACAACAGCCCGTATGGGCAATTTTCACGTGAAGGATCAGGTTGTAGTGATAGCAATCCAACTTTTGATGGTGAAATGCAGTTGTTGACATAAAAAGTAAAATTCTAGCATTGTGTGAAAATAGGTAGAAAGATAAAGAACTTAAATTAATGTATTTATTGATCCTTAAATGCATTTAATAAAATGCTTCATTATTAAAAAGAAACTAGAGGGGTACAGGACTCTCCAGCATCCCAAGCACTACCATGAGTCAAATAAAGGTTATACTTTCAAACATAGAGGGAAGGCAATGTGACCTATACTTAAAGTCTGCAGAAAATAAAAATGAGCACAATTGAGATTGAAGGATGCAATTTTATGGCTTATGTGGAGATAGCAAGGTTTCTGCGCGAGTTCCCAATTATCTGATAACGTTTTACGGCACTGATCAGATTGCAAGCTTTTTGCTATTTTTGAAAGAGATTACGCGTCCAGCGGTAGTTTAAGGCGGCTTTCAAAACTATCCGAGGCTGTTGTGAAACTTCTGGATGAATTCACATGTGAAAGAGGGCGGCGCAATGGAATCGATTACGTCTGGCGTGGTGTTGCTAAAATAACACCGAAAGAGGGCCATATGAGAGAGTGCGACAGAGAGAGAGAAAGACGGATAGATACTGGGATTAACTTAGGTAAAGTCATGAAACCGCAGAAAAAAAAGCGCATGTGCTTTGTTGTTTGTTTTGCCCTACAAGTGCGCTTTCTGTTCGTCCATCACAAAGTATGGTTAATCTCACGTTGCAGTTAAAGCAAATTAAAACAGTACTTCATTTCTCAAACCAAACAGTATTCTGATTTGGTTATTTCAAGCTGGGCTTCGTTGCTCCTATATTTTTGTAGGGGGTAGTACCGAAAAAAAAAGAGGGTGACAAATGTATGGTGCGTATTTGGCCCATGAGTCTGAATGTAGGTCATCAGTGAGGGAGTCTCTCCCACATATACGAATAACCTGTGTACCCTTTGTTTAAAAGTAACGTAACCTCTAGCAAGGTTTGGCTTTCACTGTGCTGCTAACGAACGCCAACTACCATGCATCTTAAATACATGACCTTGAACACTTTAGGGCAAATCGCAGTCATGATCACGAAAACTGACGAAATCACAGACTAAAAAATGCCTGCTATGACATCACAGTTTTTCTATTAGTTTATCTTACAATAATAAAGATGATAAAATAAGTAACAAATAGAAACTGCAATATAAACAAATGCCTATTGTGTTCGTTGCGCTCCTATTTTTATTTTTACTTATAGAATTACCTGCAGCGCCACGAGGCCATTATTGCGGGGGGTAAGACGATTAATCACGTAAAAGCACATATGTTTACACAAGGACAAAGATAAAAGGATCACTCCACTTTGGCAGATGAGCATAGATTAGAGGTCATTAAACTCGCTTATAGGGCTTTTATAGTGCCTGCAAATTACTATACATGTCTATGAATGCCTATTTTCAAAATTAGTGCCTCTATGACCACCATTTTGCCCCAAGTTTTGCTTTCAGGTGCCCTTTGAGACGTTCATCGACGTTATCGGGCTGCATTGATTGTTCGGAACTCTGTGGGGTTAAAGCTAGTCCTCTAGTTCAACCAACTTCCAGGGAACAACTTCTAGCAGCAGGGAAGTGCGCGCCTGCCTGCATACGCCAACACTCCGACATGACGCGAGAGGCTGGTGAGTGTGAGATAACGAAGAGAGGTCACCAAAGAGAAAAAAAAAACTTGATGAGCAGTAAGGTAGAGATGTGGGCGAGTTGTATTTGATGCATCTCGTAAAAAAAAAAAAAGCACGAATAGAATAGGACACGAGAATGAGAGGTCAGAGTACGAGCGCTGTCTAAACTTAAGTTCTTGGCTAGAACTCGTTTTGTCTCTTGACATTTTCTTGCTGGTTTTTAACTGCGCACATACATGTCTGAGTACGGTAATAGGTATTTTTTTGCCAATAAGTCAATGATGTAAGAATGTATCATAGGTGAAACGGCGCAAAAGACCAGGACAGCAGGGGCATGCATGGAGCCACACGTAGCGATGACTGGCAGTTGAAATTTATTGCGAAGAACGCAAATGATGAACGCAAATAAATACGTATCCGCCTATAAGCGTATAAATACGTATTTGCCTAATAGATACGTAGTTACCTATGGTGGCGAAGAACGTAAATAAATGTGTGTCTACTCTTCAGACATTGTGAATGTAATGAAGAGGCAAAAAAAAAATAGGCGATGAAAATGATTTCAAATGTACACCGATACTATGATACGTTAAACCATCTAGCCGACAAGTTCAACCTTCAAAGTTTGTGCCATTTGTTCTGCTAGTCATCGTCATTTAAAAAAAAAAACAGCTAAAAGTAAAGTGCGACCAGCTTGAGCTCGAGCTACAGTTGACGTTAATTGAGATGCGCACTATTTCCTGACGATAAGAAACCACTAAATTAGGCAGTGATCGTATCAATTTTGCTCACTTATCGCAAGAATAATTATGCGCGTACTTATATTCGTCTCATGTTGATTGATTGATTTGTGGGGTTTAACGTCCCAAAACCACCATTTGATTATGAGAGACGCCGTAGTGGAGGGCTCCGTAAATTTTGACCACCCGGGGTTCTTTAACGTGCACCCAAATCTGAGTACACGGGCCTACAACATTTCCGCCTCCATCGGAAATGCAGCCGCCGCAGCCGGGAATCGAACCCGCGACCTGCGGGTCAGCAGCCGAGTACCTTAGCCACTAGACCACCGTGGCGGGGCACTCGTCTCATGTATGGCACCGTCAAGCCGAAGGTTTTAACACTCACGCTCACAGTTGAATTAACGTTCGAATATTATATTCGAATATATTATAGATTACTTTTGCACATAAAAAAAAACACAGGCTTCATGTTAGTAGCCTGCCCGTTTCTCCCCCTCGATATCAATTACGCCACCAAACGAGAAGGCCACCACTTATGCGAACTAACTACGGTCGTCAGTACCTTGAGTATCAAGTACCCCGGCTTTTGAACATCGTTGAACCTCATATACATTTTCATGCACCTCGCTTTAGAAAGTTTATAAAAAACTTTCTGTTACATTCCTCGATAACTTATCAATTAAATATATCTGTCTAATTTTCTACGTGTACCGCATATACAGTTTGTGCTACAATTTGAAAATTCACAATTTAATGCGTATAGGTATATATTCTTGGAGTGTCTTTATGATATGTTTGTTTTCATGAAGAGTTTTCATGTATGATGTGTACCTGTAATGCTTTATTTGCAGTGACAATTATGTACACGCATGTTTTGATTTTTCTGGTTGCTCTATTGTTTGTATACTCGCATCGCATGCAAACAAGTACACGCATGCCGAATGCGCATGGGAGTAGGAGCCTCTGTCAGGCAATACGGCCTTTAGCTCTTACTCCTCTTTCTGTATCAGAAAGAAATAAAATAAACTGAACTAAACTAAACTAAAACCTTTCACGCATATGATACCGAATTTTTTTTGTCAGAAAACGGGGCAATGAAGAGAAGGCTACAGGATGAGCATGTACCAATGAGTGGCCGTATCAAGGTCGAGTTCTATACTTCCTTACTGGCAGTGCCTGAAGCTCTGGCACACTATGTGTGGACAGCTCCGTAATCTAATTTCCGGATAGTGTCATATCACCTTATACTTTCGCAGTGCTGCATGCCTTTTATTTCTCAAAAAAGAAAAGAAACCGATCAAAAGGGACAGCATGACACGAGTCCCTCCCCCAAAGAAGATTCTAAAGCACCGTGGTTATCGTCGACAACGGTGCAGCAGTGAGAACCTGCAGCAGAATAATGATTACTCGCTTCGTCTGTTACATATTCATGCGCTCCCACGGCTATTTCGCCTGGCGGGACGTGGTCGCATTTTTCATGTATATTTTTATATCATTATGCTTACCGTTGACAGGGAGTTGAGAGGACGTACGAACATACCACGAACAATAAAACGACGCAGCAAAAGCAAAACGAATAACAAACCGACGCAACGCCGTCGCACTTGCTCATATATACCGCCCCGTAGAACCTAACGAGAAAGAGAGACGGCAAGTGATCGCCCTACAGAAAAAAAAAAACGGCCTTGAGGACTCACGTGTGTTGTCCATACCCGCCGTGGTATCCAGGTCATTGGGGCACGCCTGCGCGGCTGACGCAGAGCTGAGTTTTCAGAGGGTCCAGTGGGACAGTAGATGGACCTAAGCAGAGTAGAAGCTTTCGTTCAATGCACACCCGGACTGGCAGAGACACGTGTCGAGAATGATGCGACGCTTTCCGCACGCTGTTAGCGCCAAGGCTTACTATATCCTCTCCTCTCTCTCTTCTTACCACCGAAAGATTAGTATTGAAGGTTCCCTAACTTTTTTTTAGGGGTATTACGAACACA